GTGCTACGCCGTCTACGAAAAGCTCAAGGCCGACAAGAAGAAGGGCAAGGCGCTGCGAGAAGGTCGAGACGTCGATGACGGAGCGTCTCGTCAAGGACGATTTGCGTATCGAGGCGATCCTTGGCTCGTACAAGTTTTCGTCGCAAGTCGTGCGCCTCCTCCTCGGGGACGAGCACAAGGAGCTCGACGACTGCTTTGCGTTCATCGAGGAGTCGGTGCAGACGAAGAAGGCGATGACGGGGCTCAACTTTTCCAACTTGTATCAGTGCCGGTCGGCGTGCGCCGACCTGATGAAGTCGATCCTCGAGGTGCCCAAGTCGACGAACGAGGCGAGCATCAAGTTTCAGCGGTCGCTCTACCACGTGATTGACAACGTCGAGGCCGTCATCAACTGCCTCAAGAAGGTGCTCTCCAAGCAGGAGAACCTCGTCAAGATCCTCAACGACACGCCGCTAAAACCCAACTCGTTCTTCTTCCCCGGCGACGCCCAGCACTACGCCAGCGTCCAGCTGCAGAAGATTGTCAACGACCAGACGGCCATGGACATCATCTCGCGCGCGTACCAGCTGCTGACAGTCGACAACTTTGACGCCGAGCCGCGATCAGAGGAAGGCCAGCGCCGTCTGCGTTTTTTTGCCAACTCGCTCTTCATGGAGATGCCCGAGGCCAAGCCGCTGCGCCAGATGCACTCGCTCACGATCTCGACGCCGTACTTCAACGAAATCGTGCTCTACTCGATCAAGGACCTCACGACGCAGAACGACGACTGCATCAAGCTGCTCTACTACCTGCAGACGATCAACCCGTTCGAGTGGGAGAACTTTCTCGAGCGCATCAACTGCAAGGACATGCACGAGGCGCTCAAGAAGTTTCCCGAAGAAGTCCAGCTCTGGGCCTCGTACCGCGGTCAGACGCTTGCCCGCACCGTGCGCGGCATGATGTACAATGAAGACGCGATTCGGTTCCTCCACTGGCTCGAGATTGGCGAGAACGAACCGATGCACTTGGCCGGCTGCGAGTGCAACCGCTGCATCCGCCTCGAGCATATGGTCGCGCTCAAGTTCAACTACATTTGCGCGTGCCAGATTTACGGTCGGCAGAAGGACGAGCAGCGCCAGCAAGCCACCGACATTGATTTCCTCATGATGAAGCACCCGGGTCTGCGCGTCGCGTACGTCGATGGCCCGAAGAAGGTCAAGGACGGCCCGCCCAAGTACTTTTCTGTGCTCATCCGCGCCCAAGGCGACAAGATCACGGAAGTCTACCGCATCGAGCTGCCCGGCGACCCGATCATTGGCGAAGGCAAGCCCGAGAACCAGAACCAGGCGGTGGTCTTCACGCGTGGCGAGATGCTCCAGTGTATCGATATGAACCAAGACGGGTACCTGGAAGAGTGCCTCAAGATGCCCAACCTCCTCGCGACCGTCGATCGCAAGGAGCACGCCAAGACGCCGCTGACGATCATTGGCTTCCGCGAATACGTCTTTACGGGTGGCGTCTCGAACCTCGCGTCGTTCATGCAGATCCAAGAGCTTTCGTTCGTCTCGCTCGGTCAGCGCATGCTCGCGCTCTTCCACGTCCGCCAGCACTACGGCCACCCCGATATCTTCGACAAGATGTTTGCGATGACGACCGGTGGCACGGCCAAGGCCTCCAAGGGCGTCAACTTGTCGGAAGATATTTTTGCCGGTTTCAACACGACGCTCCGCGGCGGCCGCGTCTCGCACGAGGAGTTCATCCAAGTCGGCAAGGGTCGTGATGTCGGTATGCAGCAGCTCGCGCTCTTCGAGGCCAAGCTCTCGTCGGGCGCTGGCGAGTGCGTCATCTCGCGTGACGCGATGCGCATGGGCTCCCGCCTCGACTTTTGGCGCCTCCAGTCGTGGTTTTACGGTAACCTCGGCTGGTACTTCACGCAGACGATGACGGTCTTTGGCGTCTATTTCTTCATCTACGGCAAGATCTACTTTGCGTTCTCGGGCCTCGACGCGTTCTACCTCCGCACTGGTGGTCTCGGTATCTCGGGCGCGCTTAACACGTCGTGGGCGCTGCAGTTTGGTTTCCTCCTCGTCGTGCCCGTCATTGCCGTCGTCGGTGTCGAGCGCGGCTTCCGTCACGGCTTCAGCTACCTCCTTTGGAACGTGCTGACGCTCGGTCCGCTCTTCTTCACGTTCCAAATGGGCAACCGTATGCACTACTTTGA